GCAAGTTAGCGAGAGGGAGAGCGAGTGGGAGAAAGAGGGGTAGGCACCGGCTGTTGCACTGCTTTTGTTCAACGCATGAGTTATTAATGGAGCATCAACAGAATTTGAGCTCAAAGCGGGGCACAGACAAGCCCCACATAATGGATTACAATAACAAACGGCAAACGGAACTGAATTCATTACCGAAAGCCCACTACGAATATTAAATGCCCTTAGAAGTCTCATTATAAAAGATTAAAAAGAAAAAAAATAGAAAAATACGGATATATAGATAGATATTAAAAGAGGATACATAACTTTCTAAAAATTAAGAAAATTTCTCTAATATTTTGGAAACTTACAATTCACTTCGATCTAGTTCTTGTATTGATTGATAAACACTCTCGATTTCGAGAAATTATTTGGAGTTTTGCAACAAAGAAAACCCTTTTGCAAGGCCTAACATATAAATGTTCTAAGCATTATCCTCAAGAAGAGGACAAAAAACGGTGACCTTAAATCAATAATTTTCGATTTTGGAGAAACTTTTTGAAGTCTTGGAGTAAAAAAGGGGGCTCTTACAAGGCTTACAATTGAAGTTCATATAGCTCATTATCTTTAAGGGTTTGATTGGTAAATCTACAATTTAAATATACCAAGACCTTTTATTCTATGAAAGTCTTTTCGCAAATCTTATAAATTTGAACTTATGCTTGGCAAGAGTATAAAAGCAGCAACAACGGCAATTACGATTACAACGACAACAAACTCCCCTGCTACCGGTTGTTGTTGTTGTTTTCTTGTTGGCGGTGGCATGCAACATCGTCTGCTGCGATAGAAATGGCAAATGTGCAACCTGCCCGCCCGCTTTGCCACACATTTTTTGCTGTGCGTCATAAATGGGCTGTGTGCCTAATATGCGATAGATACTTATGCCATATACACACACACACATATATGTATATGTATATTTCTTACAATGGAGCGTTGTCAACACTGGCAGACGGCTGTCAACATTGAGGTTAGGAAAACGTCGCGAATGTTGCTTTCCTGTTGTTTTTGTTATTGTTGTTGCATTTCTTAATGAGACACGACATGTGCAGTCAGCCGCAGATACAAAATCAACTTCAGAGCCGACCGCCGACTTCGGGTCTCTATTGCAAAATGTGTAAATTGAAATAGCAGCGCGATAAGAAATGGTAATTATTCTGCTGTTGACAACAGTTGCTGTTGCTTGTTGTCTGGTAGCAAATGTTCTTCTGTTTTTTCTTCATTTTATGTAGTTCAATTTGAGTTGGAGCCGTGTTTATCTTTCATTAACAACTCTGTTCTAATTACACCTCTGAATATGGATCAATGGAACGTGGCTTGGAAGTGGAGTTAAAAGTGTGTAACACATGAAGAACAAAGAGAAAAAGTGTTCAATTAGCTGCTGTTGGGATATTTCCTTCATTTTTTTCAGTTAGCTCAGCTGTTTTTCAAAGTCTTATAACTACTCTGAGTTTATACAATTCGATGTAATGTGAAGATTCAAAAGCTATTAACTATCGGGTTTTCGTTTTGGCTTGTCTTGCGTTAAGAATCTTGATCACGAATATAGCAAAAGGTCTTTCAATCTGTAAACCATTATAAACATTATTCCTTCAAAAGACAACAACCTTGTCTACGCATGGATTTGATGCTTGGTTCTAGATGGTCAATAATATATTTTCCAAGATATTTTCATCAAACTCAGTTTGTCCGAGACTCACTTTTTTCACATATCCTTAAAATCATCAGGGAAATGTTTGGGTATCAAATCGTCGACATGGCAAAGATATGTTTACTTTCTCGCTTTATTTTTATTTACGTTTTTATTATTTTCCCAGATACAAATATCGCATTATCTATTTCAGCTGAAAAACAGAAAAACTCTTTTAAAATTCAACTTTATAAGCACATAAATTTGCCTTTGTTTAGTTATTTTGATAACATTTTCCTCTTTTGATGTTCGCCTTTTATTTAAGTTCATAAACTTATTTCCTTAAAATACTCATTATATTTTACAGCTCAAGATTCATTTCTTGCATTTTCTTCAGACACTTTGCCACATTCCGTTCTCCGGGAAATGGCAATGCGCGCAACCCCATTTTCACTCTGCCAGCACATTTTCACTGTCAAGGTTTCTTCATTCGTTTTTCTTTTTCTGTGTCGTTGCCCTTTTTGAGGGTGCCGCCACGCCCACTGAGATGCAGCTTCCGCAACAGGCAACAGCGAAGTTCATAAAAAGCAGGTAATAAGTGCGAATTTCGATGTGCACCAAAGAAAATGGGGCTCTGGGCAAGCGTGCAGGGAGTAGAGTGGCAGAGGAGTAGGTGAGTGCAGGGTTTAGGAATGGAGGGAATGAAATTAATTATGCAAAACGAGAAGCGCAGAGGAAAAACGCATCGACACGCCGCCAAGGGAACTCAAGCATAAACAATGTGCGGAAATTAAGACGAAGAATCAAAACTTGCACCAAAAGTGTGGGCGGGGGGGTACGAGTGGCATAGTGTAGACAGCGAGGGGAGTGGGACTGCTGAGGGACGGTAGGGCACTGAGTTATAAACAAATTGCACTTTAAAATAGCTCACAAGTATTGTCTGTCTTCGCATTGCGTTCGTGACGCTTGTTATAAATATTTATTATATCATCAGACACTGAAAATGTAACAGACTGTGGCAAGGGAAGGGGCATGTGGTTTGCAGTGCGATGTAATTAAAATGCATTATTAATGAAATGCAAATATGAAGAAATTAATTAAATATGCAATAGACGGCGACAACAACAAAAAACTTTGCACCATAGTGCACACACACACACACATATCAGTTGCAGTCAACCCCGTTGAAAGCCCATCTGGGATTGGTTTGAGTATAGGGTGCATCATGCGGCTCGTGAATATGGGATATGACATATTCTAAGGAATTTCTTTAGTATTTCCAAATATACCAAATGAAAGGATATCTTTAAAGATTTCTTTTATAGCTCAAAGTAGTTGCTCTAGGTCTGTGTTTTAAATAAATCAATTTAATGGCAGCCCTAAAGCAGGTACGCTTTTTCAACTAGGCACAACTGTACTTTAGTTGCGTATTATGTTGGCAACCCTGCAGCAACATGTTTCTCAATTTAATCACAGTGATGGCAACCCTAAAGCACACCCGCTCTTCCAACTAGGCACAACTGTACTTCAGTTGTGTGATACGTCAGCAACCGTACCACAATGTGTTTCACAATTTCATCAAAATGGTGGCAACCCTACTGCCTTTTCAACTAGCCACAACCGTAATGCAGTTGTATATTAAGTTGGCAAACCTGCCACAAAGAAACTTGCAATTGAAATAAAGTCCATAAAATGTTAAATAGTTTTCTTAACAACATTTATTGGGTGCACTCAACTTTTTTCCTATTAAATTATATCTTTTTTTTAAAAATGTTGATTTATAACCGGATAATAAAAAAGTGGTTTTCTTAAGCGGGCATCCTCTTTGGTGGATTATTCGCACTGGTTGGCTGACAGCAGGTGCAGATGCATTGACAATTGCGTTATAATTGCATTTAATTATGCGACAACAAGAAAATTGAATTAAATGCCGTGAACGGTGCATTTTTCACTTGTAGCTGCACAAAGAAACCACAGAAAACCAAGGAAAACAAGAAAAACAAACACAGCTTAGCAAAGGTTGTCGACACTTGAATGCCCTTTGGTGGAATATTTGTTTGCCTAAACTCAAGTTTAAGCCCAGTTTTCCATAATAGGTAGATGATATAGTAGCCCGCTCCGAGCTAACCACATTTATATCAAATCGATAGTAAAAAGAGGCAGCTGTGCAAAGTTGTATCATTTATGAAACATATTTTTTGTTCATCAAGATATTTTAACCAATCCCAGTATATACTAGTTAAACCATGCTGCTTATATGTGCCTCAAACACTACTATATTATATAGCTCAATAGATAGAATCGGCCGGAAAGATATGTCTGTTTCTCGTGATATTTTCATGACATTTATTGACACAACTGCGAATGCAAATGCCTACGAGGGTATTAAATATTCGACGTGCCTAAGATATCCTTATTTTTTTGTATGTTTTTTTCTATTTATACTTTTATAAATACATTTGCCTCTTTAAGAAGTTACAACTTCCATGGCAATACTATGGTACCCAATGCGAGGGTATCGAAAGCTGGTGAAAAATGTGGCATACAAGAAAACTGTCGCCTTGTTGACAACTGCAAGCGACGCAACAACTTTGTCATTTTTCAGTTTTTTTTTGTTGCATTTGTTGTTGCTGGAGTTGCTAGCACATTAATTACAGTTATGCCCGCTGGCTGCCAACGGAAACGCAGTTGGCAATGCTAATTCCTTTTGGCCATTTGCTCGCTTGTCCGTTTCCTGCTACCAAAAAAAAATCCCTGTCCAACCAATTTTTCCCCATTTTTTCTTGCAGCATTTTCAATTAGCGCAGCGAGCGGAAGTTGCATGTCGAAAGCCGCCGCAAAAAAAGGGAAATTTCAGAGCAGCAGAAAAAAAAATCGTAAAACAAGTAGCGCATAATTTTTGGGCAAATTGATTTTATCTACTGGCATTTTCCGATTTTCACCTGGTTTTTATGATTGTTGTTTTTTTTTTCTTTCTTCACGTTTTAATTTGTTTTTGTGATTGTGCAGCGTAGCGATTGGAAAAAATTTCACAGCTTTGCGCATTTTTGAGTGGGCGCCAGTTTTTCACAATGGAAAATCCAATTGAAAATTCAAGAAATGTGCACGCTCATTAATTTTTGGCAAATATTTTGCACATAATTTTAATTTCTATCGCATTTTTTCATAAACCACAATTAAATTGTGCATTTTCGTGAATAATAAAGTAAATATTGCTGTTAGCATTATGTTAGTAAACAGCACTCTACTGTGCTGTTAAACAGTATATTATAACAGCACTCTACTATGCTGTTAAATAGTATATTATTTATACAATTATTATTTATTTTGTTTCTTACAGTGGTCGCTCCTACAGCAAGGACAGCCAGAAGAGCTCGCACAGCGACCTGAGTTCACTGTGCAATGGCAATGGCAATGGCAGCGGTTCCCCAAAACTATTGGCAAAAACTCCACTGCGTAAGTAGCCTTTGTTTTATTAAAAAATATTAAATTATATATAGTCTTGTTTTTAATATGAAAAACTTAATATTAATGAAGATATTGTTGTGAATTTGAAAATTAGAAGATGTTATGATCTTTTCTGTCGCGCTTAATTTCCCTCATTCAATATCTGCAGTAGTACATTTTTCTAATAAGCTTAAGATTATGCTACACTTTTAACCAGCAAATGCGGCTGCTGTTCGTTCTGCTTGCCGGCAAGCAGTTCATTTGGCGTTGCATTACCTTGTCAAATATACAACAAGCAACAGTCTTAACATAGTAAGAACTTAAATGTTATCTTACAAATTTAACCAAATAACGCTTGAAAGCATGTTGTATTAGAAAATATTTGCAACTCGCACTTTTTCACAGCAGCACAAAAGTATGCAACGATCGCTGCTGCCCAATCGTTTTCAAGCATTGCAAAGGTAAGCCGTGCATTGCTTCCCGATATATTTTTTAAATTGAGAGTTTAAGCGTTTATAAATTATTGAACTACACGCTTAAAAGCATGAAGTGTAATTAAATAGTTGCAGCTCCTAGTGTTAAAACTTCCGAAATAGTTGCAACTCGTACTCCTAACACTTTTACACGGCAGCGCGAAAGTATGCAACAATTGCAAGCAATGATCGCTGCTGCCCAATCGTATTCAAGCAGTTCAAAAGACAAGCAGTGCACGTGTTGCCGCAACATGTTGGCAACTTAAGAGCAAATGAAACTTGTTTTCAAAGCCTTTGGCTTAAAAGCAAGAAACATACCAAGCGGCCAAAGCGAGCTTAATAAATGGTCAAAACAGAATAGCCTATAACAACGCGAACCGGCTTTTTGTCTCATTTAGAGAGCTGTTTGCCGTGCAGAGCTTAAGAGTTTTTGTTGTTGCTTGGGAGCGTGTCGTGTGTATCTAGATACAAATGTATCTGCAGCGATAAAAACGGCACAACACAAATTCCATTTGGAGTCTCTTTAGTCTGCGGCGAGTTTTCAATGTTGTCGCGCCGGCAGCGCTCGCATTTTTTCTAGATTTTCTTGCGTGTTTTATGGCGCGTTCTTTTAACCAGAAATCTGCAATTAACACGTGCCTTTGAAATTATGATAATAAAGTGTTTATAAATTACACAAAAATTTACAGGAGAAGTAAATAAAAATAATAATAGTAAAGAGAGTGTGAATCAAGTGTGAATACCAAGTGAATGTGAATTGTTCAAAAATATGCCTGGCTACTAATTAGGTTTCTGCTTGGGAGGGTTTTCCTTTATGGTTGCTCAACCCCTTTTGAAAAGCTGACCAATGCAGCCCCTATTAAAGCCAACTCTTTTGTGCTGCCAGAAACAGGTTTTTATGTATTGTTGTTGTTGTTGTCTATAGAGAATGCCGGTTTCTCAAATGTATTCAACGCATGTGAAACAATCGAAGTCAAAGCAAAAACACCTGAACCTTTACCTAAAGCTTTTACCTGCGCTGCATTTGACGTCATTTTTGGGCTCGGGAGAGCAAGAGCTTTGAATTTTTGGTATCAGGGCTCTTGTTAACATATGTTAAGGAAGTTTATAATCTATGCCCGATAAGGATCAATGAAGCCTGCCTGGAATAGAATTTCATATAATATATGTGTCATAATATATGTGGCATAAGATCTAGACCTACATAGGGTCAGAGTCAGAGTCAAGTACACTCCTTCTAGAAATTGTAAATATAAACTGTATTTATTTTAATTACTTTAGAGCAAACTCGTGGCCTTTCTTCAGTAGGGCACGCTCCATAGTAAACACAATTACTCAAATCAATTTACAGGGCATCTGCTAGTCGTGCATCAGCATCTAGCCAAGTTTTACTTGTTCTATTTTTTGTATTTTGTTGTTTTTTGGTAGCCTCCCTCAAGGCGATCGAGTTGCGTTCATTGAATAACCAAAAAGCTAACGAGAATTCGCATTAGCTTCGGCGCCCAAGCAAATAAGCTATCAGTCAGTCAGTCAGTCAGTCAGTCAATCAATCATTCAGTCAGTTCAGTTCAGTCAGTCAGCTCGGCTTGACGCTGTTCTTGTTAACGTCTTGGCCTGGCCATAAATTATGCGGCTAATCATTTTGTTACATTTTACAGTTTGTGGCCAACTCGATTCGTTCTCACGACAGCCGCAAAATTGTTGCCACCACGACCTGAGCTCGCGCCTGCCTCTCATTGATGCCTGCCCCCTCCCTCTCTCTCTCTCTCTCTCTCTCTCTCTCTCCACTATTTGTCTCTCTAAAGCGCCGTTAGCTTTTGTCTGCAAGTTCATTTACCTAGGCAACAGTCTTTAGGCTAGAAACGTGCCTCATTCTATAAACTCCGAGATCAGATACATTAAGCAGGAAGGCAGCTCGAATCCCGCATAATGATCTTAAGTTCTTATGTTTTATACGATATTCGGATCTGTTAAAAACAGAGCAAATAAATGCCCACTCTACATATCTCTTTTATTTAACTACCTTATAATCCAGTCCGAACTTTCTGTCTGCGTTCTTAATAAAAAGAACTTAAAAATCTTTAAAAAGAAAGACAAACAAATCAAGAATTAAAAAGTAAATTTATTGAGTCATAAGAGAAAAAAGTAGAAATCGAATGCAAAATATTATTAACTGGAATAATTCTTATTTAAAAAGTGAACAAATCGCTTCGTTTGCGTCAACAATTTCAGGTTTTCATTTAAATTCGTTTCAATTAACAAATAATTTCTAATTATCAAAATGTCAAGCTGCCATTGCTCAATTTCTTTATGCTTTGATATTTTTCTCAACCGGTTTTAGTTATTTTTAACTGTGATATAAAACGCAATACTCGCACATTTAGTATTCGCATAATATAAGAATCAGTGCAAAAGTTTTTAATTTGTATTTCTTTCTTTAATTTGCCAACAAAAATCCACTTAAAACAAATTGAGGTTGAAATTGACTTGGCTAGAAACGAGTTCTATAATTGCCTAAATCATGGCATAATATTATATATGAACAATATTAATAGAAAGGCTAGCCAAATGGGAAAGTTTTCTTTTAAATATGATTAATGATGATTGATATAAAAATAACATACAAAAAAGAAACAAAAATTTGCCCAAATCAGGTCGAATTTAATGTGATCTGGAGATTTCTTTTATAAGATTTATTAAGATTTGTTCTAAGACGGTATTTTACTTTTATAATTTAAAAAAAAACTACTCGAAATTGAAACAGATCAAACTCAAATAAAACAAATTAAGAGCAACAACACAACAATTTATAAACTTTTCCCAAACTGAAAGCGCTTTGTTTAATTACTTTTGGCCCGCCAAGGTGCTGAAGAAGTTAAATCAGATCACAACTCTATCGCCAAGCTATCTTCCTGTTGATAGAGATAAGGAAGATAATGATGTAAAGTTTTGTTCTCGTTGTTTTAGACAAGTGCAAGTGCGACACCTGTTTCCGGCATTCGTGAGTTTCTCAACTGCTTCAATTGCAACTGGCCCGCGGCTGAGTTGCCCCCGCCCCCTCTCTCTCTGTCGCTCTCGCTCAGCTTTGCTCTGCCGTGATTCTACTGCGTTTTCTAAAGCTAACTGCATCTTGGTGTGAGCGTGTGTGTGTGTGTGTGCATGTTTATCATTGTGACGGCTATTATTTTCATTATGCAGTCAAGAGTTGTCTGCGTTGCGGCTTCTTTTTTCTTCTGCTTCTGCTTCTTCTATTTTTTTTTTTGCTCTTTCTTAATTTTCACTTGACGTGCTTTGTGCCGTGTGCTTTGTGCTTTTTACATTATTATTATCATATTTGCATTTTTGCGCTCCCGCTCTCTTTCGCTCTCGCTCTCGCTTGCATGCATTTATAATTTACAATCGCGGGCTCAACACAAGCGTGTAACCAGCAGCGGTTACACTGCTTCCACTCGCTCCCTCTCTCGCTCTCGCTCACTCCTGACAGCTGAGAGCTCAGCTGTCTGTCAGCAGGCGCTTTGTATAGCTGACGTCGGGTTTTGTGCCTGTGTGCCAGTGTGTGTGTGTGTGTGTGTGTTTCTGTATGTTTATGCTTTCATTTGCGCTGCACTGCTTGCCCTGCCTCTTGCTCTCCCACTCGCACTCTCGCGCTGATATGCATTTCATTCCACTAACTTTTTTTCGCTTGCTGGCGCTTTATAATTATGTGGGAAATTTGCAAAATGCTAGACAGAAATTTTTTTGCCCCTCTCTTTTTTTTTTTCTGTTGGGTTTTCTTTAATTTCTTTTCATTTACTGCTATTTTTTTCTGATATATTGCAATTTTATTTATTTAGTATTTTTTTCGCAATACGCTTAACTATGCGAGAAAGTGTTGTAGGCGTTATTCAGAAAAAGTACAGCTCTAAAAAAATGTATTACAAGAAAAAAAATGTGTGCAAATATTACAGTAATTTTTTTCTTGTTACATTTTCCACCATGAAATAGTTTGATACTCGACTGAACGAACATTGCTTTTAACTATTTGCTTGGGCGCTATGGCAAAAAAAAAGGTTATTTTTATAGAGTAGGGCGTCTGGTATTATGGCATTTTTAGCAAGTATTTTGCCGCCATATTTGATTTTCTTTAATCCTTTTGGCAATGGCTTAAACCTTAATTAACTTATTTTATCTTGCATTATTTTATATTTTATATTTATTTTATATTTATTGTATTTGTTTTGCTAAGGATCCGCCGTGTATATATAGACTAGAATTTCCCATCATTTTTCTTCAGCATTTCGAAAAAATATCCTTATATTTCACATATTTTTTTAACATAAAGAGCTTGATACATTTTTATAGAATATTTTCTTCAACATCAAATTTTAATTTTATGTATACATATATTTTTATAAAACATTTTCTTATTTCACATAATTAACAACATAAATAGATATTTTTATAGAACAGTGGCTTAAAAACAATTCTAATACTCTTTTCGCAAAAAAAAAAACTGTGCTGTTTTGCTCTACAAAACATTTTGATGTTGCCAAAAAATTGTTTTT